TAATGACTGGGACCGGACGGCAAAAGTGGAAATGGAAATCGGCGGGCCAGCATCGATTACGATATGGCCGTGTCGCGTGACAGAACGGGCGGAACCGGCCAGCACAATGCGCTAATGCGACACATTGTTCGACCCTGCAAAAATTGCCGCTCGTTACGAAGGCCAACAATGGCAGTCCGTGGCCTCTGTCGACGGACACACGCCGCCGTGAAAATTATAGCGGCCGTTCCATCGGTCCGTTCGGGTCGGTTACTCGGCAAGAATCGACCAACTAGGGAAAGAAAAGGGAAATCGAGGGAATTTCGGAGATGCTGGTCGCCTCGTTCGCATACGGTCCGCTCTCGGCTGGTGAAACCCCAGGAAAGCGATTTCGGTGATGTTTTGCAAAGAACTTTTGTATACATGGATCTGTGAATTCTTAGATTTCCAAGGTGTCGAGATGTTTGCAAGTGTCTCTGTATTTAGAAATGCCAAAGATTCCCAATATGATAGTAGCCGAATCTCCAAGTTCTCAAATTCCCAAGCTTCAAACTTTTATAGTTGCAAATCGAATTCAACTGGAACGTCCAATCTCCGAAAATCTACGATTTCCAAATTCATAAAGTTTGTAAATTGAGAACGATCGTACGCCTGCTTTGTGGGAAAATACCAAAGAAGATGTTAAGAAAAACACGTTTCATGGTAGAATAGCTGTAATCCGACGCTTATGAAGGAACCGAACGTCTTATTCGTCCTGCTATCTATCTCGACGCAAACATTTTCCCTCGACAAAAACACATTTTCCTCGGCGATGTGGAAAGAACGATGCCAAAAAGGAACTCGATCGCCCCCCAGGAAATCGTTTGTCACGCGTTAAACTAGCGTCGCTTGGTTGTAGGTTGAAGAAAACGTTTCGAAGGAGACGTACAGGCGATCGATCATTCGCTGCGTGTGAAAACCAGCCGGGGCCAATTTCCAGATGGCGAATAATTAAACGTCTGCGGCGACAAAAGGGCTTGTATATCGCGATATTACGTTCTCGATGAAAAGAAGAACAACTTATTCCGGGAGCCTTGGGACGGTCTCGGCTGCCATTGTTCGCCAGACGTTTCGTCGAATGAAATGCCCTGCCACGACGAGAAAGTAATTAACGACGAGGCTGGAATTTCCGCTTTTAAACGATGCATTATGTGCCTCTTGCTTGCTTCCTTCGATACACGAACGAAGATACGTGCATAACGAATAGAGATACGAACTGGCTCGTCAAAGCATCCGAACGTTCATCGACCTTTTCGACGTTCGATGGTTTAGAAACTCGAGGATTTCGAAGTTTCGGGACTCTCGGGGTTCGAAAGATTTGTTTCGATCGGCGTGCTCGGACGTCTTCCTCTACTTTGCAAAAAGGGGCCTCGTAGAAACGGCAGACGCGTCTCGATTTTCACGGGCTTTTACTAATTACACGCGTGCTTACCTTTGCTATAGCGTTGCGCGTCGAATCCGCGAATACCTCATTATCGCGAGACACGAACAGCATCCGAATTTCACGAACTGGAAACTTGGAAAGCCGTGGCAATTGTTGGAGAAATTTCGTTCGTTACTCGACGCGAAACATGGTCTCGTAGCGATAATGGCGCCACGGCTGTATTACAAGGCTAATTCTTTGACGGGAAAGCAGAGGCAAGTCTGCGACGATGTTTCGTACGCGTAAAACGTCGTTTTATTACCAGATCGTTTTTCATTCAGTTTCATCCTGGTTAATGGAAATTAGGCACGAATCACGCTGTTATTAAGGAAATTTTGTAAAAGGTTTCGACGAGTGGTTCGATGAAAGTCGAAGGAGGCCTTCTTTCTTTACCCTGTATCTTTTATCCACGATTACGGTATAATTAGCGATCGAACTGATCGAAGAGTTCGGATTACGTAAAATTGGAGTCGTTAATAGTCGAGCGAAGAAAGAAAGGTGGCCCTTAGGAACGACCACGATGGAAAAGATCACGAGAGCCGGTTTAGTTTTTAACTGGCCAACGAGAGACGAAGGGAGGCGACACGTTGGTCGGCGAAGGTGCGAGGAAAAACACGGTGGTCGCGGATACTCGAAGCGAAACAAGGCACGAGGGCCGTGGCCATCGTTGATCGATCATTTGCATAGACAAATATGTTCGATGCTGTGCGACGAATCGCTGTTTATCCAGCAGTCGAATAATCGTTTTCGAAGCGATTTCGAGCCTCCTCGGGCCGAGTGTACGCCAGGCCGAGCACTACATATACACGCACGGTCAAGTGGCCTTTCGAAAATTCGGCGACGCGCGAATCGCGGCTACAACGTGTCGATTTCCAGCCGAGCTACCGTCTCTGTCGGTTCACGTGGTTTTTCCTATACTCGCTTCTTCGCGTGGTAGAACAAGGTTGTCCCGCGGTCGACGTTCGGTCCATTTGTCCACGCTTCCGCGTGCTTATTTCGTAGAATTTTGCGAATAACGGTATTTTACTTTGACTCGATGGGAAAGATCGTTGCAGAAATCGACGTTCGAGAGCGTCTCTTGGTAGAAGCAAAGCCGGCCGTTTTTCAACATCCTCCGTGAACGTTGACAAAGATTTATCGGGCAAATAAAAATTTTACGAAAGCCGTAAAATCAGAGAAGAAGAGGCAAGGAGAAGAGGAGAAAGAAAGGAAGGAGAAGAGAAAGCAAGGAAAGGTAGAACGTTTGTCTTAATTTGGTGACGTGCACGCTACTACACGCGCAAACGCGGGCAGTTCACGTGGCCGGAAAAGGGGAACTGAACGGAAAGAAGACAAACACGGGGGCGGCCGGATGATTAATTTCCCCGAGCGCGAAGGAACGCCACGTTGGCGCATATTTTATGCACGCGTTTAACTCTCCACACGCCGTGGCCAACTTAATTTTCGCCGGATTCCATTACGCTTTTCGTTTATTAGGGCCTCGTCTTAATGAAACCGGCGGCGATCCTCCGGGAGATGCTTTTACATCGTCGATCTGACTCTGTTCTTTCTACTTGCAATGTATTCGTACATTCGTGGCGACGAACGATGTTTCTTTTCGCTCGACGTATCTGGTTATCCGTATGATATTTATACATTCTTGTTGTCCGGTCGTTAAACGTAAAGAAAAGATAAAATAAAATTCAGAATATAGAAATGTTTGAAATAAATTACCGCTTGATCGCCATCGTTCGTGCATTGGCTCTAATCGTATAAAGAAACGAGTTTCTCATGGATTTAACAAATTTTATACGATAAACTTTACAACATAAATACATTCTCTGTTATCGACAACGTTGTACTAGCAATTACGTTCTAAAATTGACAAAAAGTAGGTGAATAGCAGGTGGAACGTCGGCGAAGAAATCATTGTTTCGTCGTATCGTAGAGAAGCACCGCTACTGGCAACGTCTTCGTCGTCTTCGATCCGTTGTTTCAGGTGAAAATAAAGGTCGTCTGCCGGGTCGTAAGTCAGATTCGCGGATAATTCTTCCCAAAACGCCATTCTTTCTGGGAAAAATTCGCTTTCTATCGTAATTTCCGGAAGTTTTCCAACTCCAATTTGCAGGAACTTTTGCGATTCCTTGTAATCTGGCCATGGTGTCACTCTCCAAGCCTCTGGTACGCTTAACAACGAATTATCCACTTATCGATAAGATACTTATTAATAAGACGATAAGAAAGATACAGTATTGGATATTTTCTCATTTTCTACTACCAATTGTCTTGTTATTAGGAAGTAAAGATATTTATTTCGCGTTACCCCTTAGTTGCGAAGCTGGCCCACATCTCGGTCATTATATTAATCATGGTTATATCGTCTTCCGTATTGTGTAACATGTAATCTTCAAACTCTTTGTTGAATATTGGTAACAAATAATTTAAATCATCTACGTGCGAGACTCCTGAAAGAACCACATCGTCGATTTAGTGGTTAATTTCTTTGGAAGGCTTAACGCCTTGTTTGTCGCGACTTTTTTACGTATAAAAAGTAAAAAATTCTTCGTTAGTAATCTCAACCCTATCGAAAAATATAAAGTTCGCGTCCCCCTTGCAAATATATTCTTATAATATTTAAATACACGTTTAATTCGTTAATTTAATAAATATTACGCTACGTTCTTAGTATAGTATTAAGTAGCTGCATTCTACGTATCGCTGTGGGTGTGATAGTCACGCGAACGTATTAGTAAGCCAATAAACATGAAAATCGATAAACAGTACGATGAGAAAATTTGAAGAATAACGTTTCGTAAAAATCTCAATTACAAAAGAAAAAGAAAAGAAATGTAAATGTTCTATACTTGATTGGCGATACTTCTACGTATACGAGTGTATAGTTAAAATTTGTCAAGATGGAGGAATAATTCCAGAGTACCAAAGTTTGGAAATCCTAAAATTCCAAAATTCCAAAAATCCAACGATCCGATGTCGCACGGTTCCAAAATTCCGATATCGCAAACTCCTAAAACTTGAAAAGTTCAGCATTAAAAAATTCCCAAGTTTGAAAATTCTAAAATTCGGAAATTCGTAGAAACCGCAGTCGCAAAATCCCAAAAGGTTGTAAAACGATACTCGACGAGGAAGCTGATAAAGAAATTTTGCCAAGTTAGAAAGCCGGCGATGGGTTCTGCGTCTATGGGAAACGACGAGCCAAAAATTCACTTCGTGCCAAACGATACGTTACGATGAGACGCAAAGTTCTACGTTTTGAATTACGATGTTCTCGAAAATATGAACTCGCGTAAGAATTCGTTGCGTATTTAGAAGCAATATGGCCGATGAAGCATTGAAGCATTAAAGCACCGAAGCGTTAAAATACTCACCAAAGTGTCTTGGAACTCCTTCGGTGAAGGCAAAAGTCGCGCTAAAAGTGCCCTCGTATGAAAACACATAGAGATAGGTACTCGAATTCATTACGTTCGATTGGTACTTTAAAGTTTCGTACGTTGGCCATACGATAAGAGCATCTCCAACGATCTACGACATTGACACATTCGTAAGTGGATTTGTAAAATTATTAGCAACGTGTTCGTTAATATCGAATCGAGTAATTATTCTTATCCTTATTCGGATAATTAACGACGTGTCGTCCGTGTCGTATAGATAGAATAATTTATAACGGACGATGGAATAAGTCGTTCCATGGAATTATTTTGTCAAAGAAGATTGGACACGCTCGATTAATTAATCGTTAGTTTAAGATGTTATTTGAAAGAGTAGCGTATAAATAGATGTTATTTTAACGATCAAAAGGTCGAAAACGTACGTGAAAAATCTTGCTTGACAGTTTCGAAGTAGCCGAAGTTGACCGAAAATATTCGAGCGGAGAACACACGTACCTCTGTGATATTCCTTCTCAGCGTTGATAACGTAACGTTGCCGTCGAAATAGAAATTCGTAAGGGCGTCCAAAGTGTCGTTCGACATCGCGCGATATTCCAGCAAATAGAGCAGATACATCTCGAAATTATTTAGTATTTCGTCCTCGGCGCTTGGGTTCGTCAAGATGGCTTCAAATCGAAACGAGCAACTTTTTCAAAATTAATTAAAACTTGTAATCGAATTGCGCGGCGAACGGCAACCTTGTTACGGAATGAAGTAATTTTCGAAAAATACCTCGCCAATTATTCTACTTGTGGCGATCCGATACGAAGAATATGCGAAAAAGAGTAGGACTCTGCTGTTCTTCGTCGAACAAATGAAATACCGCGGAAAAAGAAGTTGTTATTCGGAACGATCCGAGAAAGACAGAAAGCGCTCGTTGTCTCTTTCGAAGCGAATGAGAAAATTATCGATAAAGTTAAATACTAAATTAGTTATTACTTTCGCAAGGCGAAATTTACCGATCGATTTCATCAGTCCTTCGTCCTTGGTGACTCCTACGATAGCTGGAATGTCTCTGAACAGGCGCTGCTTTATCGCTGTCAGCGGATGCACCGTTACGATGGCGTCGTCCGATTCTTCCTCGATCGTCGGCGCGAAAATGCAGCAATGGCCACTCCACCGCACTATCTTGTTTGCCAAAGTTTCAACGAAGAAGATTTTAACGAAGTGAAATTTTCGTGAAAGCTCGACGAAGCATTCGATATCTAGAATTCTTTACACGATCGTCGACCACGGATGGAAGTTTCGTTTCGTTCGGAGTCTCTCGAAAACAAGACTTTGAACGAATTTTGTTCTACTTGTTCTTCGACTTGTTTTTATACGCAAGATGTCCCGTAATATCGAGGAACCGCTTCGACGATGGATCGCGCACGCGAAAACAACGGAACCTTCTTGCCTACCTTGCGTACCTTGCGTTCTGTTTGCAAATAGGTAAATGAAACTACTTCCATCTTTCGATAGAGCTACTCGAACGTAAAACTCGTTGTAACTCGAGGCAAGTTTCACGCGCGGAATCCATCATCGGTGTCGCAGGACACTCTGCATAGAACTTACATGATAGTCCATCGTGTTTCTGAAGCTTCCGACGTCCAGCTTTCTCAAGCATCGCATCATTTCTTCCTCTTCTTCTTCGCTTAACTCTGCCTCGTCATACCATTCTTGTTCGCGCGTCACGTTCGGTTGCGCAGTCGTCGTATATTCCTCTTCGCTTTGAGCAAGACATCCGACCAACGTGGCCGATACCAAAGAATATATTCTTATCCAATGCGCGGGCAGCAACGCCGTGGGACTAGTAGCAACTCCACTTTGAACGATGTACCTGATGGCAATGCCGTATTTTTAAACTCCGACGTCCCACCCGATAACTTTGTCCCGTTACGACGAAATTGATCGTTTACGGCTATGTAAAAGTTGCGTGAAACTTTTGGACGAAAGATCGTCGTCGCGAAGATCATCGACGTCGCGGTTACAGGTCCAATTAAGAAATCAATACGAACGTCACGCTGACGATTCTACGACGGAACGATCGCAAACGGTATATACTTGTAGCATGGATTTACAACGAAGTAGTAGGAAGTAGTAGATGGATTTACAACGAATAGGCGTGTGTATTTGTCGGAAAAAGATTCAAATTTCAGAAAAGGGACGCACAGGGACAATTTAATTTTCTTCGGTTCGATCTCTAGACACGTTGTTTCGTGGTTCACGATTTATACGCGCTCGAGTACGTGGAAGAAAAACGGGTGATCAACGGGAAGATCAACGCGTGATCGGTGGTCGGTAGTCGGTGGTCGGGGTTCCCTCGTAAGTTGAAAAAGAACGTCCCACCGCAAAATCGTTAACATACCTGTTGAACAGTCCTTCGGTCTTGTTCGTGATAGCCAACAAGTGCACGGCAGAGGCACCTGCGCTGTGGCCCCATAGAGTCACGATATTTGGGTCGCCGTTGAAACAACGAATGTTTTCTTGCACCCAACGTAGCGCCATTACGATGTCTTTCAGACCGTTGTTGCCTGGATTGCGTTTGGTGGCCGTGGCGAAGAATCCTGTACGTACGGAGAGAAGTGAACGCGTGGCAACTGGCATGTCAGAGAATCGCAGTATCGGAGAAATGAAACAACGAGGCATTGGAAAATTGGTGTTCCCGTGATGAGGGAAAACATGGCAATTTAGGAGCTGGATATTAGGAAAAATTCGATCCGAAAGTTGTGCGATCGAATGTTGGAATATCGGGAGATCGGTGTAGTGGAAAGTTGCGCGAACGAGAATCGCGGTATTAGTAAATTGAGAAATTGAAAAATTGAATATCAGCAAATAGGATTATCGGGGAATTTTCTCTCCTTGCACGCGTCTCTATTAATTTTACATTTTTCCAAATTTCGCTCGATAAAACGTGAACTTTCGAATTTCTTATTACCCAAAATATTCAAACGATATTGGATCGAAACTACGATCACGTCCTGGTCCATCATATACTCTGGTGGGACTTGTCGATTGTTACCACCGTTAGTGGCGTACATTCCGCCATGCACGTACACCATCACCGGAAGCGCTCTTTTCTCCTCGTATCCATCTCCGTTCTCCTCTGAAATCTGCAAATACTTCCTTCGACATTGTTCGTTAATTTAGTCTAATTTTTAGCATCTCTCTTTCGTCCGAAGCAAACGTTTAGAGTTGTAGACTTTTCTCGGAAACTACGAAAGCAATAAAGACTCGTAAATAGCAAGCATCGTATCGCGACACGAACTAATATTATAACTTATAACCTGTCCGACTATCAAATTTCCGAATTTCCTGGAACCGCGTAAGCGATATTTTTTAAAGCAACTGGAAAAATGCTGCGTCGCCTTGAATCGTTTAAATTTCATTAAACCGAGAGTGGACCTTGCGACTCAATCGAGATCGCGTTTCAACAAAACTTCCATTTGTTTCGCAAAACGTCGCTATATGTTCCGAGTTTCGCGCGAATTCTGCGTTTCACGATGCGAATCGACTCGAAAACGGTATACCGTTGCGTTTCGAATCTGATCGAATTGTTCGAATAGGATTTATATCGAAATTTTAATATTCTTCTTCCGCTTATACGAAACGAATTCCAATCGACGACATCGCCAACGTTCTTTTTTCTATGCTATAAACTTTTCCACCGTATTTCTGTTTTCTATTCTTCCTCTTCTCTTTGTTTCTTCTATTAACACGTTCGTTACTTTTCTGCTTCTCTTCTATACTTTGCTTGCTAGCGTCCCGTACGCAAACTGCCCCTTTTCTCTGTACTTTGGGAATTTCTCGAAACATTGTCAGAAGAAAATTAATCGGTTAAAGTCGTAGAAATCTCTCTCCTATTAATTTCATTTATAGAATTCTTTTTCTACGAAATTAATACGAGCGTAAACTTCCATAAGCTCTACAAGATACAAATATTTATACTACGAAGATGAAACTTTTCTGAAACTCGTTTTCAATTGTAACGGTAATTTATCCCGGTAGATGCCCAGGACCAACGTAGCTGTTTCGGATAAGCAAAGTTGCATATTTTTACGCTTTACGATATCTACGTACGTGTGTTTTTTCTAGCTCTTTCATTTTCTCTTACCCTCCTTTATCTCGTTTATCCTGTACTGTTATTATTTTCATATTTTTACCTCGCTTTTTTGCTGAATACGCTAAAAAATATTTACCAGAGGCACGTAAACGTTGAGATAGAGACAGTCTTCCTCTCCAATGAAGTGGCCTTGTTCGGTCACTTGAACGCATACGGGGGCATATTCCGTTGCTAAGAATGTCTCCGTCCAATTGCGAATCCATGGCCTAGGACTCTGTCAAAGAATTTTTATCATGCCCCCAAAATTATTACAGGCGGACTACGTATTTCTATGGAAATTCGTATTCCCGAGAATATAATTGAAATCAGGCTTTTCTTCTTTCGCGATATTAATTACAACTAATCCATAATATTACTGTGATATGTTACATAGATGAAAAGGTATGCTATACTATCGAGCACTATAAAAAAGCACTATAGAAGGCACTATAATATAATTTAATATATAAAAATAATAATAATAATAATAATAATAATAATAATAATAATAATAAAACATGTTTACACATAAACTCACCCTAAACCTCAAATCATCCACAGGCGGTTGAGCAAAAGGAATGCCCAAATAATGAGCGACGAGTCTTCCTCTGGTGCTTCTACTCAACAATCCCTGAACCTGGCCGAATCGAGTCGTCACTTTTGCCTTGTACGCGTGCGAACCGCTTGCAACGATCATAAACACCATCAAAACGCCGAACGAATATCTATATATCGATCTATCGGTCATTATAAAGGCAGGTTGCCGGCTATACATTTCGCGGACGCTTTTCGCACGAGTACACGCACGAGATGAGGATGAGTCGCGCGTAGACGAACAACAATGACCGATCGCGCGACTCTAGTCGGTTATATAGACGGGACGGTTAGGCTGATTCACTGGCGAAACGCGGTGCGACGCCAAATTCGTTTGTCTCGAACCGACCAAATAAATTCTTTTCCCTTTTTTATCGTTATATTGCGAACGACGATTTATAACAAGTGACGCGATAAGTGGCAGAGATAATTAGCAGGATAGTTAGTCGCGGGTGGTAGGATTGGGTGCGAGGCGATTCTACGAGAGGAAATAAGTGGAAAATGTGGATAATAAACTTTTCTCGCTAGACACTGTTCTCGAGGAAGATGAATTTGAAAATGTACGCTGCACGTGCATCGGATCGAATGGCGACTAAACGCTTCGATAGAAAAATTATGTTTCAATATTTTTCACCTAATCACGTTGGTACAACTTGCGCTGATTGTTTATTCATACATGGTCGGTATCTAGCCGGAAGCGGTATATCGATAACAAGTCGTAAATTAATACGTTAAACGGTGACAGCGATTGATCTAGCCGCGCGCAACCGTACACGTATACTGG